TCAGAATTCAACTCAAATGCAGAGACTCACATATCCACTTGAATCAACTGCCACAACATGCTCATCACCAGCAGAGACACGAAGAACATGAATACCCTTTCTCTTAAATGTTTGCATTGCACGTGGGTGGAATTCATTTTGCTGTTCCCCATGGCCAAGGCAAAAGTTAGAACCAGAACCAAAGGAGTAGACTACTCCATTGTCAGTTACAGCTAAAACATAGCTTGGGCCAGCAGCAATCTGAACTATAGAGCCAACTCTCTCAAGCAGTTCAACCATTTTGGGGGTTGGTCGGTATTGAGTGTCACCATGACCTAGCTGCCCATGTGTGTTAGTTCTACATGTATAAACATGCCCTTGCCTTGTAAGAAATACAGTAAAATTCAGTCCAGCAGCTACCTGAAACCAGGGTAAAAGAAGATGCATCAAATTCTTACTAAATTCTTGCCACGACAATAATAACGGTGTAACTTCAAAATTAACTCATCAGATTATACCAAATTTTTGCTTTATTGCAAAAATTCTCTCTGCTCTGACAATAAACATTAAATGAAGACTTAATATAGCAGAAACAACATTGTTTTTGATGGCTTAAAGTTTAACCTTTATCACCATCGAATAGAAACAGTATTATTGACTTCTTCTGAGCTATATGCTAGCTTAACCATCATACTTGACAAGGCTCATGGCAATCATCGGCTTATGGAACTCAATAGTTATAGTGATGACAGAATACAGATGGTAGCAAAAACGGAAGGCTGTCATGAAAGTTTTACTATCCCCACCTTTAATAACGCAGGGGAAGGTAACAAAGACAACAGAGCATCAATGATAAAAGAAACAAAATACACAACCAATAAATAAGATACTAATACAAACATAGAGAGAAAGAAGTTTCAGATCCACTTATTGCAGAACCTATAGTACAAGCTGCTAAAACTCTCAAGCACAACTATTCTTACACGTTACACCATATAATGAGGACGATATACACCATACCTGTTTACAAGGAATTCCTTTCATTGCTTCAACAAGCCTTGGTTTAAAGATGGGACGGCTTGTATCTCTGAACCCACAACAATAGGATGAATTGTCTCCACATGTATAAACCTGCACAAGTTACTGGTGCCACTATGAATATTGAAATCACTTGGTAAACCAATCACAAACATACTTAAATGTTGGAAAAATAAATATGCACTCACAAATCTGTGACCACAAAGTAAAGTGGGTAAAAAACATAAAAAATCAGCTGAATCGTTGGAACTTTATATATATTGAAAAGCAAGGACCTGTTAAACCGTGCATAACTGAGGCACTCTCATATGAGGAAATAGGTTATAGTGCTGCATAATAATCAAGTAACATGAGCTTTGGTTCATCATGCCAAGCCAGATTAAAACTCACCTGAGTTCATTCAACAAAGCTTTGGAGTTTGACTAAAATCTGCCAATTCAAGCTTTTCACCAGAGCAAACTAAGTACAACAAAAGGCCTTCTCGACTAATCAGTCATCAGAGCCATCAGTGGAGGCTCATAGATGGCGGCTATTCATACTCTAAAAGAGCTAAATATAACCAAATCATACTCGTAAGTCGTAAATTTATACTTTCTTCTTTCTAGGCTAGTTTTTAGCTTGCTTCTGCCCAGAATTAAATATATGAAGACCATATGAGGTCGCAACCATTACAAACCTTTTTATCTAAAATACCAAGAAATGTTATCTAGGGTCCACATTTTAATAACCTATCATCAAATTTAGGTAAACCAAGTTATTAGGAATTGATCCCTCCATAAGTTAATAGTCTAAAAATTTGCCCCTGTTTAAGAAATAAGAAACATAGGGGTTATGAATATCTAACTTTATTACATATTCACAACATATTGATGTTATCAGCAGCATTAACGGTCAGGTAATATTTGTCTTTTCATAAGTGGGTGGTGGGACAAAAATTCAAAACTATCCAATTACAAAGAATTGACATCAGCATTCAGCTGTTAGGAAAATAAAATATTGGCTTGCTTACAGAATGCACCCTGAGTATGCTATTGGCCGACTAAAAAAACACAGCAAACTGAAATAAGGTAGGTAACAAACCTCTCCAGACTGCAAAATGAATGCAGCATGATTCTGAGAAGCTGACACCTGGATCACATTAGCTGGAGAAGGAAGTTAATCCTCGTAAACGCTACGCATTGAGTTGTTTCAGGACCATGTCCAAGGACACCACACAAACTGGAACCACAAGAGTACACTGATGAGTTACTAATTAGCAATGTGTGATACCTTCCCGTTGTTATCTGCATCTGGTAAACCAAACTAATTATAATTGTCGAGTAACCACAAGTTTTTCGATGGTAAGATAACAATGAGAGTGGAATCAATGATGTTTCAACACAGAAGCAAAAGTTTATTCGAATGACGTGTCAAGGGACGATTGGCTAACTGACGTCGAAAGCATTGGAGCCGCGTATTGTTTCTGGTTTACAGCACTAGTTGTCGATCGACCACTCTGTTCTGTCCGAAAATTGATTCACACGTGGAATCCTATTTTTTTTAAAAGTGTTTTTATTTGCGTTAATTAAAAGCACCTTTTTAATGATTTTATTAAATGTCTATTTTTTGGTATAATTAAATAATAATTTATATTTTTTATTTAATTAAAGAAAGACCGAAAATGCCTTATAATATACGATTTTGACCAACTTTTTTCGATTTGCCAAAATGACCAACAAAATCGCAATGCGATAATACAAAATCGCAACGCGATTCTGACTATTGCAACGCGATAATACAAAATCGCAATGCGATTTTCCAAATTTACGTTAGTCCAAATTCGTTGCGATAGTCCAAGTTCACGTTGCGATAGTCCAAGATCGCGTTGCGATTTTCCAAATTCGTTGCGATAGTCCAAGTTCGCGTTGCGATTTTCCAAAATCGCAACGACTGGTGGTATTGCATTTGTTTCTTAAGAATTTTCTCTAAAAAGATAGTATCCGCGCGAACGTGTCGAAGACACGTATTACCACGACCCGAGACGAGATGGCGGCGGTGCGAGAGCCCCCCTTGTTCTCTTCCACTCAACAAGGAAGTGGGAAATCCAAGCCTTAAATACCCATTCCCAATAGTGTTTCCAATACTATGTGGGATTGAGCATTGCAAACACTTGGGAATCTTTTACACTATCGCAACACATTCTTTATTGTTTCAAACTAAGATCTTACAAATGGCTTGAGAATCTTTTACACTATCGCAACACATTCTTTATTGTTTCAAACTCCACGTGAATTTGGAATAGTTAAAATGTAAACTTATTTTGGATTTTTCACTATCGCAACACATTTTAACTATCGCAACACATTTTTCAAAATCGCGTTGCGAATCTTACAATCGCGTTGCGAATTTGGAAACTGAGTTGAAAATTAGAGTTCGTGTTGCGATTTTGTTGGTCATTTTGGCAAATCGAAAAAAAAGTTGGTTAAAACTATATATTATAATGCATTTTCGGTCACTGAGGTTATTTTCTCTTTTTTAAATTACACATGTTTACGTATATAAAATTTATATTTAACTTCTAAATCTCTAACATAAATTATCTTTTAAATTAAACAATGTTAAAATTATAAACAAGAATTAAACATGGATAATTTAAATAATATTATATATCTAATTATACCAAATAACAAAACTTATGTATCTAATAGCACAAAAAATTGAGTATCTAATTGCAAAAAACTGAATACTACACTACACATAAATACTTAAATTAGGCACTAAAAATTACATTTACCCTTAATTAAACTAGACTTTCCCAATTTATGTTCCACGCTTTAAGTTTGTTCACAATCACAAACTTTAAAAAATATTTTAATTAAATATTAAAAGTATGAATATCATTATCAATTAAGTACTTTAACAATTACTTGTTAGTTTGGATGATAAAAGTTAGTTTAGATTTAATATTCAACATATAAATCCATTTTGGCATTTTTTAGACCTATTGTGAGTAATTTGAATTTAATTTATTAAAAAATAATCAATTCTAAATTTTAATAATAACATTTATTAAATAAATCATATCAAGAAACCATAAACGCCTTTTGTTTATCGGCCTTTTGTTTGATTAAGTTAAGAATTATCGTATAATTGCCAATTTTGATTCTATTGTGGAACAATAATCAAAATTGGTAATGATACGATAATTCTTAATTTAAAAAGTTATTTCATCCTAGGCGAAATCTTGGACGTTGTTTAAAGGACATAACGCCTCATCCCATTAAATTAGTTGGTTGTTGTCATTCATGAATAAATTTTTAATTGTTCGTGAACGTATTCAGTTATATGTTAAACGGTGATGAACCCAAAAATATTTTTAAGAGTGGACAAACATATATTAATTACATAAAAGTTTTTTATTTTTCTGTTTGAGGGTGGGCATAAATAAAATCTATGGGTGAGCACAATTAATAAAATAAATAACGAACCAATAAAATTCGGATTTCAGGATGGCGACTTGACCACCCTCAACTCTACTTGTGTTCACCACCAATATTCATGAATGTATTCAGGAAAATTTTAGTTTTAATATTAAAAAATATGTTAAATAAATATATTCGTGAACATTATAATCGAACATAATCACACATAATTTTAAATATACAAGTCTTAACATAAGTTTAAAATGTATAACAAATAAAAAGTATACATAAAAAATTTAAAAATAAACAAATCAATATAAAGAGAGGTTTATTAGTTCAAGTTAAATTTATTTATAACAAGCACAACGTAGGTTAAATTGTTCTGATTATTTTGGAGACTTAATTAATCTTGGCTCTGAAGTAGAGGGAGTTCTTGAGTATTTATACTTTTTTCTTCACTTGCCATTCTCATTAAAAACATGACCCGAAATTTAGTCCGTGATCCTGTTAACCCGACCCAATTGAAACGGATACAACTATATAAATACCTTTAACCTAGATATGTTCTTGCCACCGCTATTGCCATTTTCTACTCCACAACATTTTCTCGGCAGCCAAACCCCCAAAACATCTCGTAAAATGGCGAAGAAGAACAAGGAGAGGAAAGTAAACGTATCTGGTAAACCAAAACACTCGCTAGACGTGAACCGAAGCGATGGCAAGAACAATTCGAGAACCGCCGCCACGGTTCGCCGCCTCAAGATGTACAACACACGACCCAAACGTGACACCAAAGGGAAAATCTTGAGCAATGAGTTTCAGTCTAAAGAACTGCCAAATACACGTATCCAGCCCGATCGCCGCTGGTTTGGTAAGCTTAAAAAAATAACCTTTTTACTGGTTTAAATTAGACCCCATTTAGCTGTTAATGTCCGTGTTATTTGTTTCTAGAACTTGGAAATATGCACAGTTTATGTCTTTGAATAAATGCAATTTGTGTGTATAGCGTTTGTTCACTTTTATCAAATAAAGCGAATTTCGTTTACTAAGCTTGAATTATGTTTGCTGTTTTAAGTTTTACACAGTGCCATTATACCTTTGTTTTTTCAGGGAATACCAGAGTTGTGAATCAAAAAGAGTTAGAATTTTTTCGAGAAGAGCTCCAAAGCCGGATGTCAAGCAATTACAATGTAATTTTGAAGGAGAAGAAACTACCTTTATCTCTCTTGAAGGACAATGCAAAGGTATGAATTCTTTGGAAGTGAATCCTACTGGAATTTGGATTTTGGAAATTGCTTTGCCATTTGAGTTAAAAACTATACCTCTAATTTTGTTGTATTTATTATTACAATGAATGTTTATGAAGCAAGCTAGAGCTCATCTTCTAGACACAGAACCATTTGAGGATGCATTTGGACCTAAGAGAAAGAGGAGGCGCCCAAAGCTCCTAGCTGTAGATTATGAATCTTTAGTTAAGAAAGCAGATGGTTCTCAAGGTAAATTATTAGTATTGCTATTATTAGTTTTTATTTAGGGAACATGAGTCTGACCTTAGTATAAGCTGTTTTTCTCCCAACTTCTATAGAACACAATATTGAAAGCTTCTATATGTATTTCACATTTTGGTTTATCAAACTGCAGATGCATTTGAGCAGAAGTATGGTGCCTCTACTTCCACAGAAGAAGGTGAGGTAGATGGATTCCGTGACCTTGTTCGACACAATATGTTTGAGAAGGGTCAAAGCAAACGTATATGGGGTGAACTGTACAAAGTAATAGACTCATCAGATGTTGTTGTCCAGGTCAGTTTATGTCCATCATCTATTCATTAGTATTTGATCTATGAAGTAAAGAACAATTATTTAACCCGCCTTGCCCAATTTTTGATAAATTTTTGTATCTCATTATTGTTTTCTGTTCCTTCTTGCTACTTCTGTTTAATTGAATGGAGCAGGTCAAACAATTTTAAAATAGACCTGAACATAAATATATGTTCCTTTCAAACTTCAAATGTGTATTTGTTAGACAATGCATAACTCCTGTGCCCTACATATAAGAGGAAACAACAGTAAACTAGAAATTCATGCCATTGTTTTTGTTTCTAATTTTCTTTTTGCATTACAGGTTTTGGATGCCAGGGACCCACAAGGTACAAGATGTCGCCATTTAGAGAGGCATTTGAAAGAGCATTGCACGCACAAACACATGATTCTTCTGTTAAACAAGGTTAGTTGAATTTTCATGTGATTGTTATTGTTGCTATTATTATTCTACTCCATGATGTTTTGTGTAAAGCTGCTTTTAAACTCTGGTAATACCTATTTTTAGTGTGATCTGATTCCTGCTTGGGCTACAAAAGGGTGGCTTAGAGTTCTATCCAGAGAATACCCAACCCTAGCATTTCATGCAAGTGTTAACAAGTCTTTTGGAAAGGTAATATCTAATTCAGTTTATGATGCTGTTGGATTTAAAATTTTAGTAGATAAAGTGTTCACACCTTCATGCCCTTCGGTTCCATATTTAGAGGTTATAGTACATTGTGATGCTAATTTGTTAGATTGGCCACCCTCCATCATGTCTGGTATTGGATGCCTTAAATCTTTAATCAGGACATAAAATTCACTTACCTTCTGATATCTTACAATCTATTGTATTTGCAACATCTTTGGTTTTACTATTTTTAGTATATTTTGGTGGACTATGTGTTTATTCTTTTTTAGATTTTTGTTTTGGAATTTCAATAAAATTTTATTTCGTAGGGGTCTCTTTTATCAGTGCTAAGACAATTTGCCCGCTTAAAAAGTGACAAGCAAGCAATATCTGTTGGATTTGTTGGGTATCCAAATGTTGGCAAGTCTTCAGTTATCAACACACTCCGCACAAAAAATGTAAAGTTTCTGATCTCCTTTTTCGTTCTTTATTTCATCCGCTTGTACTTTATACTCTTCTAATTCAGTATTATGGTAATATTAAAAGGTATTTTACTTATGTGTTCTTATGCATACGCCTATTTTAGATACCTTATTTTCTGATATATACCTGACCTCTTACTGTCACCTGCCCCCTTTCGTAACCTATAATGATTATCATGTGTCCTATTTTGGTACATTGAGAACCTTGTGTACTTGTAGGCATTCATAAAACATTTTTTCTTTTTGGTACTCTCATAGGAAGGATGGTTTGTAATGTGGTTCAAGGGTGTAAACAATGTTCTATATTTGGTCAATTCATATATATATATATATATATATAGGGTGCTTTAGTTCTGCTCTGTAATCTGTTTTATTCAATTTTCTGAAGGTTTGCAAGGTTGCTCCGATCCCAGGGGAGACTAAGGTGTGGCAGTATATAACACTCACTAAAAGGATTTACTTGATTGACTGCCCTGGGGTTGTTTACCAGAACAGTGACTCAGAAACAGATATCGTGCTGAAGGGAGTGGTATGTTCTATATGTCTAAATGTAGTCGATTTTTGGACTTTCATTTGCATTCAATGTTTTCTGGTGTATTCTTATGCATTATATTTAAGGATCAAGCTCTCTTGGTTTTGCTAGGTACGGGTTACGAACCTAGAAGATGCTGCTGAGCACATTGGAGAAGTTTTAAAGCGTGTGAAAAAAGAGCACTTGAAACGAGCATACAAGATAAAGGAATGGTGAGCTACTTTGTGGCTATTGTCTCCATTGATCCTTCAGATTGATCCCATTTTTGTTTGTTCTATTTTATCGTAGTTTTATTATTACACACAGTGAAAATAAGGAAGTTTTATTAGTTAACTTCTTGATCCATCTTTTTTCTTTTACCTGGGTGTGTGCAAAGCCTTTTAAGAGTAAGGTGGTTTCCCCTGGGGCCATTTACATTTAATGCTGTGCCCATTTGTTACTCTTAAATGATATAATCATACAATAACAATGAAAGAGGACCAGTTCATTTATTATATTTATTATTTGCTATTGTTAGGGAAGATGAAAATGATTTCTTAGTCCAGCTGTGCCAGTCAACTGGCAAACTTTTGAAGGTATGTTGTAGTCTTAAGTTTCAAGCCTCTTTTTAGTGCCAACTGTAACATGCAAAGCGAAACTAAATTTCGTTCAGAGAAGTGTTAATATTTAAGTGATTGTGTTTTCCATAAATGGCTCGTGTCTAGGGTGGAGAACCTGATTTGACGACTGGAGCGAAAATGATTCTTCATGACTGGCAGAGAGGTAGAATACCCTTCTTTGTTCCTCCTCCAAAACAAGAAACTGATGATTCTTCAGAGGAACCCACTGTGCATGGGATAGACAAGGATGCTGTGGCTAATAATAATCAGGCTGATGCTGCGCTTAAAGCCATTGCGAATGTAATGTTGTTCCAGCAGCAGAAAAACGTGCCCGTTAAGACGGATCTGTTCAGTGACAATGAACTCACTGGTGAGGCAACCAACGTGGTCTCTGATGGTGAAATGGTTGGTGAAGTTGAAGTCTCTGATGATGAGGTTGGAGCCATTAGCTCAGATGAAGAATGAACCTTTTGTTTTGGGAAGAAATCAAAGGCTCATGTTTTGGTAGTTATGGTTGTAATTCAAGTGGAACGTGTTCATAATTTGAAAGATTTTTTGACTGAATTCAATTCAATTTTCTGTTTCTCTTGTAATTCAAGAATTTAAAAAAGAGATATTTCTGAATATTGATTATGATATATGATTAATTTGTTTTATCTCGATAAAGAGTATGTACTCCCCGCTTCACCTTGGCATTGGGACAGGATGTCCTTTGTTGCTACCAAGGTGAATGCATATGAACTTGTTAACGGACTCTACGTTACCTAGGAGTAAATGACTGTGTTTGTGTTTTTGTGTGTATTTATGAACATGCTAATTCGTTTAAGGTTTGTGAACATATTTGTTGTTTGTTGCACATCCTATTGGTCCTTAAACTTTTTAGATTACAGTTTGAATTTTAAAGTTGTTCAATTTAGTTCCAATCTTCATCAATATCAAAAATGTGAAAACAAAGGATAAATGAGTTGATAAATAAATTGATAAACTAATTTTCAAACGAGTTTATTCATGAATATAGACGAATTAAATACATTCTTGTTTGTATTTATTCAATGAACATAAGAAAATTGTTCTTAATTGTTTAATTAACTTAATAAATGAACTCAAACAATTGCTATACAGATAGTCCATAAACAATTCATTTAACGTTACGTTGATTTATACCCTAAACACTATCACAAGGTGAAGAGGATTTACGCCTTGCTCACTGGAGCGGTTTATCGAAGTTGATGCTTCGTCCAAAATTTCGTTTCTTCTTTGGGAATGCTTCCACGAGGACGAGGGCTATGTATATCGGTGTATGGCTCTCATTTCAAAATTTTCATATCTTTACCCCTAAATTCAACGAAGTTTTTATTGTTTAAGTCCAAAGAAATTTAACAAAAAATAAATTATTTTTAATGTTTATTTCACATGACGACATTTTATTAGATCATATTATGTTTTTTTAATGAAAAAATGTAAGAAGTGAGACAAACTAACCGGAATAAAGTAAAAATGTTAAAAGTGAGAATCTCATTACTGTATAGAGCAAAAACATGTGTTAAAGCCTTGTTTTATATTCAATTATTTTTCAACAAAATTTTTTTATTGTCTTTATAGAACACTACATAGCCTTTAGATTTATCCATACATTACAAGTCCTTAATTGGATTAGAGTGCACGTTTAGGGGAATCAACACCATCCTTTGACTAATTCCTCTCTCTGGCATTATTTTTGGATTTTTGAATGATTTGATTGAATGCTGATTCAATCTTAGGGGAACAAGTTCTTCCTCTTGGATAAAGCTTGTCCCTCACAACCTCTGGATCTATAATTCCCTCCTCTGCCATTTTCGTGAATGTACTTATGAGGACCGTGTCAAAGATTTCTTCTTTCTGTTCAGGGGTAAGCAATAATGTTGCCATCCCCTCCAATTCCCCACTTACCAAGGCTTCTCGGATCTCTTCATTAAGCCTGCTTTCTCGTTCAAGAGGAAGTCCTCGATCAGCCAATGACGACCCCAACTCACCCACACTATCAGTAACGTCTCCTGCAGGGTTGGACTCGCTTGTCTTGAAGTCCTGGATCTGTATGTCACGTCCTACCACGAATTGGATTGAGAGAACCAGGACGAACGGGAATACAACCAGAACAATCTTGCCCATCTCTTTTCTTTCAAAATCTTAAAAATTAGAAAACAACCTTTTTTTTCTCGAAGAACACTTGAAGATAAAAATGAGATGAAATTTAAAGAGTTCAAGACGATTGTTTGCGATCAATTCAAGGACTTGCTGGGCAGTCTAATTCTCAATGACCATACACATCTAGAGCGTCTTTCAAGGGGAACCAAAGTTATAAATAGTACACTTATTTTAGAAATCCACTCTATACCAAATTTTGAAATTTGGTTAAGGTTGATAAAATATAAATATTTTCCCGTAAATTCTTACAATAAGCATGCCTTCACCACTCCATGTTAAGTGATTAACAACATATAATACATATTTTATATTATAGGTAATGCCATATATATAAAAAGAGAACTCGGTCTATAAATAATTTGGGAAGTATGAGGGCATTTAAACTATTGTTGCTAATTTAATTATTAATTTTTAATGAACTATATTTTAAAATGTAGTTAATGTGGATATTCAAATGAATACCTTTAATTATTAAATATTATAAATCAGGTATTGTTTTTTAAAAATTATAAATTTTGAATATATACCATAAAATAGAGGTGAAAAAATTAACGAAATTTAGAAAACTAAAGTTATTTAATTGCAGTAGTTGCATAGATTCTTTAGCATCTGGCAGCTAATGTAGTTACTATTAAAGTCTAACACGACGGCGTAGAGGCATTGTCATCTCTCATACTATATAAATAATTTGATATTTTTATTGGTGAAATAAGAAAGTACGTCACACTACAGACATCAGAGTAGAGGGAATCTCTCTTTTTCTCCGAATGCTATGGCATGCAGAATCCAAAAACTTTATTTTCCATTGTTAAAAGAAAGTGCTTTTTTTCATAATAATATAAAAAGAAAATAAGAAAAAAAATGATTTTTTGAGGTAATAAGATAATATTATATGTAATTATATCTCAGCTGGTGTAGGTCCATGTGCATCAGCACTATCTTTTGCCTACTCTTAAATTTTTCTCATTTTCACTTAGTGCATTTCAAGCTCACGGAAAATCTGTTATTCTTTCTTGTATTCACTAGAAAAGACGATTAATATATCAGCGGGATTCATTTCCTCTATCTTTTCCCTTAATTATTTATCTTTTGAGTGGCAAAATTTGAACTTTTATTACAGAAAAAGAGTTAAAACTTCTCACAGAAAAGAAGCTTTGAATATTTGAGAGGGAAACAGTTGTTGAACATTAACTGTGCCTTTAAAGTTCCTGCTTTTCCGGGTTTATAAGGGTAGTTTTAATGCTTTAGTGTGCACAACTACCTGGATTAGACTCTATTCCAGCATAAAGGAAAAGCCGATGAAACGTCACTTACGCGTTCTTTTGGCGTTTTCTCAGACTCAAAATTCAAAACAAGCTTGAGAAGAAAAAAAAGAGGAAAAGGAAAAGGGGAAAGAAAACCTTTCGTTTAGTGCACTTTTGTTATTTTAAGTTGAAATGAGAAGCACCCTGTTCTTCTCTCTGGCTTTTTCCTTGGTTCTTGATTCAAGTATTGAAGCTTTGGTGGTGGCATAGATTTGAAGACTAGGACAAGTTTGTTTTTGTTCTTGAAGTTAAAGATCATAGGCTTTTGTCTTTATGCTAATGTGATTTTTGTTTTGAAGATTTTCAAACTGTTCATATGCAGCAGTTTAAGAGTGTGTTGAAGTAATTGTGTTGAATAAGTTTGAAGACTAGGAAAAATTTGTCTTTATTTTGAAGTTAAAGGTCATAGATTGTTGTCTTAGTACTAACGTGATGCAAGGTTAGTTTCTAAGGTGAGTTTTAACAGAAGAAGTTTGTTTCCCAAGATTTCGTGGGATAAAATTTTAAGACAGGAAAATTGTGTGTCCTGTTCTTCAAGTTCGAAAGAAAGGCTTTATAGAGCTGTCAATAGGGTTATTTAAATGGTGGAAGGAAGTGTGGAGAACGATGAAGAAATACGAGCACTGGCATTAACGCCGACATGGTCTGTTGCTACTGTGCTGACCATCTTTGTCGTGGTTTCTTTGATAGTGGAGCGCTCGATTCATCGCCTGAGCAATGTCGGTACCTATGTCTGTTTATACCTGCAATCACTAAATTTGGACAATGAAACTATGTTCCGTATGTGTTCTTCAAATTGCAATGATAACATTTTATGAATTTCCTACTGTTATGTTTCAGTGGTTAAGGAAAACTAATAGAAAGCCTCTGCTCGCGGCTGTTGAGAAGATGAAAGAAGGTATTTTCGATTCCGAATATTTCGATATGTAATTGCTACCTAATGAGACTCATGAAAATGTTATTTACTAACTTTGTTTTCTTCAGAGTTAATGTTGCTTGGATTCATATCGCTCCTTCTCACAGCAACCTCGAGAACCATAGCAAATATTTGCATTCCATCAAAGTTCTATGATAGTACATTTGCACCATGCACCAGGTCCGATATTGATAAAGAACTCGAAGAGGAGTCGTCCGAGGAACGTAAGCTTTTGATGGCTTCCGGCTTTCACTTGTTTAGAAGAATGTTGCATGGCGTGAGTCGAAATACCTGCACACAGGTATTGCACTAATCCATATAGAAATACTTTTTATGCTCATGATCTTTCATCTTAAATAAACTCTCTGCTCTGCAGGGTCACGAGCCATTTGTGTCCTATGAAGGTCTCGAGCAGTTGCATCGTTTCATCTTTGTCATGGCAATCACACATGTATCGTACAGTTGCTTAACAATGCTACTTGCTATTGTGAAGGTCGGTCTTCTGGTTGCATAAAATTTTGCAAATGTTGATCTTGCTGTCTGTTTTTAGAGTAACTTGATAGGTTCTTCTGAATTTCGATACTCGGCATTGTTCTTTCTTGCTAGAATACTTTGCATTTTCAATGCAAAACCTCTTATTCCAAGTATCCAAATAACTGCAATAAGGGAAAACCAGGGTGCATATTGGTTTTGTTATAGACAATGGATCTGAGACAACCTTTCCCACCATATTTTTGCAGAGTATTTAGCAAATATGGGCCATGATACTCCCTGCTAGGGTTGAATTCGTCATTTTAGAAGTAGCCGATTGATAACGCTAAATACGAATGGTGACTTAATGCCAAAGATGCTAACATAAATGGTAAAAAGTCTTAAGCAGGCTAACTCCCAGATGATTTATTGTTGTTCAAAACAATAATAAGTATTCAGAAATGTTTTTATTTGTGATGAAAGCATGAAGTAATGCTTCTAAGATGCTGTTATTTGCTTATTGTAACTATTTGGTAGATTCATAGTTGGAGATCATGGGAGGATGAAGCTCATAAGGACCTACATGATTCATTAAACGGTAACTCCGAACATCATCTCTTTGTATGTTCAGATAATAACATTCCTTTAAGTTGATTATCGTTTTCTGATAGGGAACTCATGCTTTAACATGTGATCAATTTTGGTCAAAGATTTTATCAAAATTTTGTTAGATATTATATGATCACTGGAATTCACTTGATACAGCGAAGGCAAGAGAGTCGATATTGCGAAGGCAAACAACTTTCGTCAATATCCACACTTTGAATCCATTGACCAAAAATAGTCTTCTTATCTGGGTGGTAGGTACAAGACATCTCTTTGTTCACTGGGGGATTTCATTCATCTATTCGTTGTGAATTCGTTTTAGTTCATTATTATATGCTTAACAACCCCGGAGTTCTTTTGTGCTATGCACAACTTATGGCATTCTTCTCTATAGGATTTATAACTTATCACGGAAAGGACATATAATGAACTGGAAGGGACAACAAGAGGGATTTATCCTAGTCAAATTCATTCTCATTGCAAGCTAAAAGAAGATTGAATTGTTCGAAGTTGCTTTAAGCATGATATGATAGTTTTAAGTTTTTTTCCTGGTGTATTCTTATGTTCTACTTGCAGAGATGTTTCTTTTGGCAATTCGGGTGTTCAGTGGATCGTGCTGACTATCTGACTCTCCGCAAGGGCTTTATAATAGTACATTTTCTTCGGAATCTTACTTGTTGAAATATTCGTATGAGAAGATACATTAAACTAAATCATATGCGCAATCAATTACTATGATTCGTCTATACCTTTTTGTTTTTCCTAATGATGGCAGAATCACAACCTGATGTTGAAGTACGATTTTCACAGCTATATGATTCGTTCTATGGAGGAGGAATTTCAAAGGATAGTTGGAGTTAGGCAAGTAAATATCTTCATATAACGCTTTCATATTGTTTCCAGATCATTCGTTTACTATTATCTTATATTTTCTATTGACGTGTTCATGAGGCAATATATGAACTATAATGATATATATACATTTCCTGCTATTGCTTCACGAACGATCTGGTTTATTGAAGGTGACTATTAACTTAAATTTACTAGCTTAGTCATGTCTATTAACTGATTGTTTGGGTTTATGCTCTGCCTTAAGATCTTAGGATTGCAGATTGCTGAAGTTCTGTTTGTTTGATATCGTGCAGTGGTCCACTTTGGGGATTCGTTGTCGCATTCATGCTGTTCAACATTAAAGGTATTCTGCAATGTATATCGAGATCGAATTATTATGCCTATCGTGCGCTTGGCTATACTTTTACCTTAAGAATGATTCCAAGATTGTTACCTCTCTAGTGAAGCATTTTGCTGGTTGTTTAAAGCACAATCTGAACTTTTCGAATAGTTGGGTACATATTATAGGCAGTTCTGCCAATTCAGTAAATCGACGACTCACCGGCTTTTTTTCTTCTTACAGGATCTAATCTGTATTTCTGGATAGCAATCATTCCCATCACGGTAAGTCTTTTGTCGTAAGAATATTCGTTGATGGCCTTCTAATCTTTCATGTCATTCTGATTTATATGTTCATAACTACATATGCAGCTTGTTCTGCTTGTGGGTGCAAAGCTACAGCATGTCATCGCTACGTTGGCACTCGAGAATGCCAGCATAATTGGTTGTTTTAACAGGACAAAGCTGAGGCCTCGAGATGAACTTTTCTGGTTTAAGAAGCCAGAATGGTTGCTTTCCCTTATCCATTTCATTCTATTTCAGGTTGTTGTTTACAGCAATTCAGTCCAAGGGAAGATTTTTTGTACATTTCATGTTCCAATTGCCTGTCGAAAGAGAAATAAAAAACTTATTTACGGCTTCCATTTCATGGAACTTATGTTCTAGTCTCATTTCTCTGCAGAACGCATTCGAACTGGCTTCATTCTTTTGGTTCTGGGTACTTTCTCTTCTCCTGGGGAGTTTTGTTGATATATTTTGAAACCAATTGAGTGCTCATTGTAATTTCAGTCTCATGGCACGTTAGTTACTATGTCGATATCTTTGCAGTGGCAGTTCGGCTATAATTCGTGCTTCATCCGAAACCATAGGCTTGTTTACATACGACTTGTTTTGGGGTACGGGTTTGTTATAGCTCGTCCCAATTTTATATTTCTAGTTTCATCGATTATAGGTCCTTAAATTATCTTCCTCGTCTCATAGGTTTATCGGACAATTCATCTGTAGCTACATCACCCTGCCGCTCTATGCTCTTGTCACTCAGGTATTGTAATTATTCATTAACATCCTTTTCAGTTGCTGTACTTCGTAATGATTATCGATGTCTGCTGATTCTTCGAACTTCAGATTCGAGTTACATTTTCCGAACCTTAACCCGAAACATGTCATGTTCAGCATTTGCTTACCTCTAAAGGTGTTATATGTTTGTGCCTTTGATCTCATTTACAAATGGTTTTCCTTTTCAGATGGGAACAAACTATAAGGCAGCCCTGATTCCAGAAAGGATAAGGGAGACGATCCACGGATGGGGTAAGGCGGCAAGGAGAAAGAGGAGGCATGGACGTTTCACGGATGATTCAACTATACATACCGAGACAAGCACGGTTCTGTCGCTCGAGGAAGACGATCACCGGTTGATTGATGTTCATGAAGCCAGTGATGGTACATACACTGAGATAGAGTTGCAACCACGGCCTGATGCTCCATCCGGTCCGGGCCCGGTCAAAACTTCGAGCAGGGTTGGTATGCCTATAGTTAGAACATCTACTTCTATTTCTGCATCGACGATATCTAGGCTTCAACACGAAGATTTTCAAAGATCGTCCTCCATGCCTGTTACAAGAAAATGAAAAAAAAAACAAAACAAAAAGAGCAATTATGTACAAAATAATTTGGAAGGAACTACTTAATGGAACACTTCTAATCTGGTCTAACAGTTACATACATGATTTATTAGTGTTAATTGTGTTAATCTTTTGTCCAAGTTTATTTTGTGTATATTATTTTTGTCCAAACTTCGCAAATATCAAATGGACCTTCAATCTTGGATATTAAAAGTTAGATGAGACCTTGCATTGTGTATATTTAAGTCATCGTATTTATGATATCATTTGGACATAAATCAAAAATAAACTTTTAAGTAACTTTAAGATATCGTTAAAAAAAATTATCAAAAAGACTCCTTTATTTTTATTATCCTGTTGATATTGATTCAACAAGGTTTGATTGTAGACCTAGAAACATCATTACTTTTGTATATTAGAGAACATTATGTGGTAGTTAGGGTTGAGTAACTGTACTAATAGTCTTTGACATCTCTTTGTCAGCTTCAGTCACATAGTTTCCATGGCAATTGCGTAGATTACATCCAGGAGTTGTAGTTCCTGAACCATATCCCACGCCAATTCCCGATCCAACTCCAGTGTTTCCTGATCTAATTCCAATTCCGGTCCCAACTTCACCCCCTGGTGCACCAAACTCATTGTTCCCGCCTGACCCAATTTCAGTACCATATCCAACGTTGTTTCAAGATTGACCCCCCGACTGACCAACTCCATGTCCAATTTTCCAACGCCATATCCAATGCCCTTTCCATTTCCAATGCCATATCCAATGTTGTTTCCTGATTGGCCTCCCGATTGTCCAATGCCGTACCCAACACCTTCTCCATCTCCATTGCCAATTCTAATTCAATACCCAACGTCTTTTCCTGATTAGCCTCCCGATTGTCCAACACCGTACCCAACACCAACACCTTCTCCATCTCCATTGCCAATTCCAATACCATATCCAACACAATTTCCTGACTGACCTCCCAATTGTCCAACACCGTACCTAACGCCTTCTCCATCTCCATTGCCAATTCCAATACCATATCCAATGTTGTTTTCTGATTGACCCCAGATTGTCCAACACCATACCCAATACTATTTCTTAATTGACCCCCTAATTGCCCAACACCATACCCAATACTATTTCTTGATTGACCTCCCGATTGTCCGACACCATACCCAACACCTTCTCCATCTCCATTGCCAATTCCATTACCATATCTAATGTTGTTTCCTAATTGACCCCCCCGATTGTCCAACACCATACCCAATACTATTTCCTGATTGACCTCCGGATTGTCCAACACCATATCCGATACCCTTTCCATTTCCATTGCCAATCCCAATATCGTATCCGTATGAGTATCCAACGTCGTTTCCTGTTGACCCTCCTGATTGTCCAATGCCATACCCGATGCCATATCCATTTCCATTTCCAACGTCATATCCCATGTTATTTCCTGATTGACCCCCCAATTGTCCAATGCCATAACCTATACCCATATCATTTATTGGATTTTTTTAAAAAAAAAAAATTTCTTGTATTCAAACTCTTCTTAATGGATCCGAAGATTTTGTGTTCTAGTGATCTGCTTTGTATTTATGAGGAAACTCCTGCTTGTCTTAAAACTCTGGTTTCCTTTGTTGACCAAAAAAGAAAAAGAATTCCATACTTATTCTCATACCCTTTAGAGTATTACATAGAATTCGTATTCACAGGAGTTTCTAACAGTTCCAAGACAAGAAAAGAAAATAAAAAGGATGGATGACACGGCATCATCTCTTTAGCATTCTATTTAGAACATTGTTCATCCATCTAAGATTTTCAGCCATCGAAGCTTGATAACAAACTAGTTTTTACCACATGAGAAAACATCCCTTCGATCCAAAATATTGAGGAAGCTCTTTAACAAGTTGTTCAAAGGTAGTTTATGAACATTTGAGGATGCTGACGTTCAATGCTTACGCACCACCACCACATTCGGATTCCGTGGCCTTCAAACTTTCGGCCATCATTCGGTACCTGTTCTGCTGCTGTCTTTCTACAGCAACCATATGCAAGCCTACACGATAAATCATTGTGAAACCACCAGCATGAGCCACGAAAGAAGATAAAGTTTATGATCTCAGAGTAACTTATGTCATGCGATTTGCGCCAAGTTAAAGGTCAAGAATGCATACCGATTGCACATGCCCACAGAATCCTCATAGACCACTTATCTCATATAACTCCTCGGGCTCCCATAGCTGCAAAGACCAATTAAACTAATTAACATAACATCAATCTACTTACCATATATTATTGCTTGCCAACCAAGTCTAATGCATAGCGAAGATTCAGAGAGGCTATATAGTGCAGGCTTGTTTAAAACTTTACAGTTAAACTCTTCCCTTGCTCTCTCTTTCTACCAAATTCATCAGCCACAATAATCCGTGCAATCCAACGAAATCAGTAACTTTCTTACAAGCTACCACTTGATTGATGGCAGACATTTGGTATGAATCCATGAAAATTGCTGGATTCAAAAATAAAAAAGAAACTAGAAAAGCAGCGATTTCAGAAAACCATTTTCTGAATAGTTTATATCCCTTTCATATGTAGAATGCTAGAGAAATCATATTCCCATGATAAAATGCCTTTTCTCTAACAGAACAACACTGCACTTCGAATTGTTCTTGAATCGGTATGAAATCCAGATACACGGAAGAGAGAAAGAAATCATGAAAAGGATGACAAGCCAAATGAATTGAATGAATCAAACTGTAAGCTAGGCCTGTATATATAGAGCATCAACAGGCGCTTAGGTTCCCCCTCAGAGAAGTCACAACCTTCATAGAAAGGTTACCAAATGGTTCAAACCATTCGGATTGAAAAGAAACTTTATAACAAATTTGAAATGTAGAGAACCATAGACAGCTACTTCTGAACCACTAGAAGCTCCTACACGGAGTTTAATTTCATACTATGCCTTTGACACGACGTCTCTTCAATCACATAATTTGATGATAGAACCAACCGAACTTGTTCGCATTGAAATCACCATAAATGAAGCTTTGATATGTAGTTCATGATACAGAATCAATTAAACTGTATGCTGAATATGGAAGAGGACATATGAACTTTGAATTAACCCTAATTTTATACGACCCATGAGGCTATGATTTCCTTGGTCTAAATTTACAGCTCTTTTGTCTTTGGTAAAATTCTACTTTCAGGAACTGACTAATTTCAATCATTCTCTTTTTCTTCCCGTGTCACCGAGAAAGGAAAATTCAAAGATATGGAATTTAAACTTACAATTAAAATCATAGTTTCAACAAGTTACTAATCAAATATTTTTAAGGAGCAGTTTCGGATTAGAGAATGAAGCAAAACCCAAGTTCAAACAACATTTATACTGAAAAACGAGTAAGCTATCAAACGAAACAGAGAAAGAAACCATCAAATACTGTAAATAAAGAGGGAAAAGATATTACCTTTGAAGAAGCAAATAAAAAAAATAACTTTTTTTTTCTTGTTAGTCTTAGAAAAACTTAATTTTATTGAAAAAGTTATTTTATTAAAAGAACTTAGTTTTATATGTATCTTTCTCTTATTTACCCCACTTTACTCTCTTATTTCTCTCTTTCAAATCTTACTTTCATTTCTTCTTATCTTTTAAGTGCATTGACTTTTCATTTCTCTTTCGCTTACATTTCCATCTTCACTTTCAATCCTCCTCGATTCCTTACAACATAAACATGGTCTGCCTTGAAAGTCACACACATATTGTGAATCAATATAACAAATAATAACATTTAAACGAAGGTTAGTATGTTACGTGGAGAACTCTGACTAATGACAGGCAAGTCCATTTCCAGTCCAACATGTTCGAAAAGTTTAAAGCCATCCATGTCGGGCATGTTAACTCACTGTTTACAATGTCGTAACCGCCCTTCCTTTCATGAAGCAAGTTCAGAGCGTCTCGTGCAAGGCCACATGTAGTGATTCAAATAAAATTGAGTTATAAAATATGACTCGTCAAATCATCAAAATGCTACTTTACTCATCAAATGCTCATCCCTAACTGTAAATGTATCTAAATTGTAGGTCTATCTCTGCTACTTTACTTCTTGCAATAGGGCCTCTCGGAAGAGTTCGGTCGAAATCTGGACTTGAACCTATGATGCTCGTATCACAGATGCCACAAATTAACCAGTGTTGATTTCATGGGTTGGATCCTGTTCGAGATAAAAAAAAGTTGGATACTGATCTCAATTCCGTCGACATATACCAAGTGAAACAATCTCTAATTGAATACCATTTTGTGTATATATTTCTTGACCAAATCCTTGAAAATATTAGTTGAAACTTCAATCTTAGATGTGTAATTCAATCCTTAGATATTGAAAGTTCGATGAAACCTTACATTCCATGTATTCAAGTTTTAACTATGTTTATAACATAATATATCTTGTTATATAGATCTTAATATGTTCATATATTTGTGTTTTTATTATGCCCAAATTACGACATTAATCAAAACAAGCTTCTAAATAATTTTAAGATGTCATTAAAAGAAGTTTTCAAAGAGAATCTTGATTATTATTATCTTATTCATATAATTCAACAAGGTTTGATTGTAAACCACATAAACATCATTACTTTGGTATATTAGAGAACACTATATGATAGCTAGGGCTAAGTAATTGTTTTAGTAGTCTTTGGCATCTCTTTGGCAGCTTCAGTTGTGGATTGTACAGAATTTCCATTACAATTGCCTTGATTACATCCGGGAGTTACACCACCTGAACCATATCCCACACCAACTCCACTTTGTCCTGATCCAATCCAACTCCAGTCCCAACTCCACCCCCAGGTCCACCACACCCGTTGTTCCCACTTGACCCAATTCCAACACCATATCCAACATTGTTTCTTGATTGACCTCCTGATTGTCCAACACCGTACCCAATACCATTTCCTAACTGTCCCCATGATTGTCCAACACCATATCCAATACCATTTCCTGACTGTCCCCCTGATTGCCCAACACCGTACCCAATACCATTTCTTAACTGTCCCCATGATTGTCCAACACCATTTCCTGATCCCACTGATTGCCCAACACCGTACCCAATACATTCCTGACTGTCCCCATGATTGTCCAACACCATATCCAATACCATTTCCTGATTGTCCCCATGATTGCCCAACACCATATCCAATACTATTTCCTGACTGACCCCCTGATTGTCCAATGCCGTACCCAATACCATTTCCTGACTGTCCCCATGATTGCCCAATGTCGTACCCAATACCATTTCCTAATTGTCCGTTGCCATACCCAATACCTTCTCCTAATTGTCCCCCTGCTTGTCCAATGCCATACCCAATACCTTCTCCTGATTGTCCAACGCCATATCGAACACCATTTCCATTGCCAATTCCAACGCCATAACCAATGCCAAGTTTTTCATCATTAGGGCTCTTCATTGGTTCATGGACCATGTTTTTGTAGACATGGTCGGCTTGGTCCAATAGGAACCTATTAGCCGAACTCAAGCCCAAGCATAAACAAATTGAGAGAATCATGCACGTCAACTTTAGTACTGAGGTTAAAGAGGCCATTTTACTGGTTTTCTACCCTTCTTCATGTGATTCAAAGGGTATCATATCATTGCTTTATAGTGTTGAAAATGGCAGTGAAAGAGAAGATTCGGGAGAGTGCAATGCAGAAAATGCCCCATTGCATTTGGTTGGTGTTTTGTTCTTCTTTCTGGGTCATGGACCATACATGAGTAGCCGTTATGTGCTTAATTTGCTGCAACATGCACCAGTCGTTCATTATTCTCCAAACAAAACATAAACGAAACGAAACAAAAAGAAAAGCACCCTTTCATGTGACTTATGCCTTCTCAACCACCCTCTCACGTGCTTCATCAGCTCCTGAACTTAATGAATTAAGTTGGATAATTAGTTTAAACGCTTAATTAGCTGGAAACAATTTGTTATTTTCACTTCAGGGTCATGGAAATAAAACTTGGCCTAACTAAGGCTTTGAGTTCCATGGATTGGTTTTAGGGTGATTTTATTATCAAACTCCATAGAATTGTACTATTTAACCGATACTGTCCATTAAGAAGAGTCTTTTTATAAAAAAAAATGATGCATTTTTTAGAATGTGCATCACAATAATTTAAATGTCAAAATATCTTTCTTTTTATTCGATGTGCATCGCAGTTGAAGGAAAACATACATAAAAAAGAGAAGTAATTGAATTGGTTTTATTTCTTCCTGATGTTGACCTGATTTTTATCAGAATTGCTTCTTGTTGATTTTTACATGTCTAAGACTTGATGTTTAATCCAGAAAACAGAGATAAGGATGAGAAATTATGGAACAAATTGTAATGAAATGCAGATATGGAAAAATTGTACACTCTGATCGGCCCTTGTGTTAACAAAATGGTCTAGCAATGCTTTTAGCATTCAAATTTCAGTGATTGCATTATAATCAAAATGGTTTTGAAATGCTTTTAGCATTCAATTCAATCTTTACTTGGCAATAATTATCAAAAGAAACATTTTTTTAATTCAGTGAGAATTGATACAAGTATCATTCTTTGTTTAGAGGTCGAAGCATGACTTGTAGGAGGAAAAAACATACATTTCTTAAAGCATAAAATATGATGTAATTAGCATAAAAGAGCCTCAATGCAGAGCACAATAATACCTACTTAATTGTATACTAAGCATGGATCATCAAACATTCTATTCCTACACAAGTAGCTGCGAGGAAACCCGCAAACTAGTCCCAAAAACTGTTATCCTCTTAAAATGGATACAGTTATATTCAACCTGGTACAAATAGAAAGACGAAGGTAATTCCTTCTGTTACCATTCTCTGGTGGGCAGTTGATGTAAAAGCCTAGAGCTGATCGATAATTAAGTGTTAGCACCATCGTCTAGGCCATTCTTCTTACATAGCAACATCTGGATCCAGCCGTTTTTGTATGGCAGCTGCAGCCTGTAAATTTAATATGGCAATGCTACATCAATCATCAACGATGGAATAATTCAAGATTTTGCACAGGTAAGATAAAACCGACAGTGTATCCCCACCTCGAAGTTGCCAATTTTGTACATGTAAGCCATTTCTTCCCGTAGCTGAGCTTGTTCTTTCATTGCTTGTGCCTGCAAATTCATATAGATGGAGGTCAGAAAACGTAACTTGCTTGGGGCTCTACAGATCAGCAGCAAAATGATCACTATGTTAAGGCTAACTAAGAGCTAACCATTCCACTCTGCATGTCACGTTTCAAAGCTTCGACCTCTTCTTCCTTCTGCTTTTCACGAGCCATAAGCAGCTCTTGCCTGAACATGCAGAATTGAGATTATGAGCCAACACAAATATATAATGCATGTAATAGTAACACGCTTATCATTGCTAAAAAGTTCAAATTTAACATTCAAATTCCCATATAACGGAACTAAAGAGAGCAGGCATTCAATATTACTTTGTCCTCCAAAGAGACAGAATATATCATAGTAATATAGGATCACTAAACAGACACTACAAACAGTTTTGGATAGCATTTTACAGTTGAGATTTACAAACAACTCTTGTTTAGGGTCAATGACATCATCATCAAAATTTGACCATCTCAGATACATTATACGACGGCATAGAGTGCAGCATCATCCTTGCTTTGGATGATCAAGGGATGTGTAAATAAACAAACCATAAACTATTATAAGATGCAAAATTTGTAAGTTGGCAAGAACCATATAGTAACGAAATTGCATTAACGAAATTGAATCTAATAAGGAGTAATAACAGTACTAATTGATACCACAAATGACAGCTTTCACGCAAATATACCAATCAATAGTGAGCTTGATCACTAGAACAGAGCTTAGGAAAAAGAACGCATGAATAGTCAAATATAAGTCTAATTCAAAGAAAGTTGTATTCAAGATAGATGCAAAAACTAGGATATCAGCTACTTCAATATGGCATAAATGATGCAGTGTGCATTGAAACATACCGACGCTGATCTTCGTCATTAAATACGGTACGCTCTGCTTGGAGAACCTTTTTAACACCCTTCTTGCTCTCTTTCTCCATTTGACGCTTATAATAAGCATCAAGATTATAATATCTGAAAGGACCAATCAAGAAGCTATCATGTACATTCCTTCATGGTAACCCAACATACATGCCGAATTATTGTTATTTTTACATCTTGGAATGCAATAAATCTCCCATAAATAAAACCTGAACAGGACCTTTGGTGGGGATAAAGGTCTACCGACATCATTAACAGGAATACAACCAAAACACTTTAGATAAGAAGGCAAGCACCAATTTCTTAAAAAGAGAGATGGTTACTTAGCTCTTTTCTATTTTTCTGGGACTATTACTATTACCTATGTAGAAAATAGAATACATCCTTTCCAGGTATGTTACTCGGAGTGTCAGACATGGATATGTGTCCAGCACCGATATGTTCAATTTCTTCCAAAATTTTCATATATTTGGAGGATTATTGGAGGGTCATGTCCCAGAATTTATGTTCGGATATGAGGTCAATATGCATACTTCAAGAGAAATAGAGTCAAAGCAAAAATGCATAAACTGATCCATGTCTCCCTTTTTCTTTTTTTTTTTATAGGAATGGCAGGCCTCGATAAAAAAACCCCTTCATGATTAATGGATCACAAAGTGCTCCTTAATCAGCGGAAGGAGGAAAAGATGCCTTAATTTCATTAAAACCCAGAAATTACATAATACTTGGGGAACAAAGCATATAAGCTCCCTATACAAGCCAATCTAAACCTAAATTATAACAGAAACAAAATAATGAAGCTAGCCAATACCCCCTTTGCTAAGGCGTCAGCCTCAGCATTAGCTGACCTAGCAACCATCTAATATACCCTCCAAACCTCAACAAAATAATGTCTCCCTTTTTCTGATTAAGAATCTTATCATACACATCCTTGTTGAAACATAATCTACAATTCTATATATTACAAAGACTTACTTTTTGGAAGGGAAGGTGGCTGTGTTGTGATCTTCCATGAAACTGCAAAAAATAAACACAACTTCTTAGAATGAGAATTTAATTTAAACAATAAACAGTCCAAGTTGCATTCATAATCATAGAGAACATGAGAAGAGAATCGAAAAACAATTGACATACTCTTTAAACAACTGCTTCTCTTCCCAGTTGGGCAAACTCTCCAAGTTTATCTGTGAAGAGAATCATACATCTACTGTCAATAAACAATGCAAATATATATATAGTTCATTACATGGAAAACCAGTTTTTCATCACGGTGGAAAACAAAAATTGTAACACCAAAAAACATAAAAGAAACACCAAAATGATAGGGAGAACACCAAAAAGCTGAAAATTTTACCTGTTTCACTTCAGCTAACCATGCTGTGAATTCAGGTCGCTTATTCCTGCACATTAGAGAAATAGTAATTATTATAATAGTAAAATTATAATGAACTTTCCAACATTTCAACTTTTGTCTCATTTCCATTTCCAACAATTTTCTCTTTCCTCTTCTTCCTTTTCCTCTCTTCTTCTCTCTCCTTCTCTTTCCTTCCTTTTCTTTCTTTCTCTCCTCCCTCCTTTCCTTTTCTTCTCTCTCTCTCTTCCTCTTTTTCCTCCTCCGCTCCTCCTCCGAATCCGAGTACCCTGATTCCGATTCCGAATGCTCGGACTCGGACGAGGATTCTGAATCCGAATACGAATCTTCTTCACTGCCACCGCTGCTGCACTGTCTCCTTCGGGATTTGGTTGCTCTTTTCCCTTTGTCGCTTTTGTTAAGGCACTTTGGGTTTTCAGATTCCGACTCGGATTTGGATTTGGGTTTAGGTGGTGTTCCCGTTTCTTCGTCGGAGTTTTCCGAGAGGGGAAGGTTTCCATCTTTGCCCATGTTCTGGTGTTCTTTGAGGTTTTGAGATTGAGAGGAGGAAGGAAATGATTTTGTAGCTCGTTGAAGGTCTGTGTTTGGTTTGCAAAGAAAATGACTTTGGAGGAAGAAGACTGGGTTGGGCTAACCCACTTTTGTTTCCTCCATATGGATCACTTCAATTTCTAAAGACTGACTTATATTCATAATATTTTAAAGCCCATAAAGTTAAACCTGCATGCAAATTTTGAAGAATCTATGACTATTCTTTTTATTAATATGTGAGTAATATAAAATAGCATTTAAGGATAAACATATGATTATATATTTTAAAGTGAATTTAAATATTTTAATAGGTAAAAATTTATAAAATTTTAAGTTGTCGGAAATATATTCTCGATAGAAATTTAAAATTTTTAATGTGTGACGCAAGTAATGGAAAGGTAGGGCTTTGGCGAAACTTGTGAAGAGGAATTAAAAATGAGTAAATTGATAATTTGCCTCTAAATTATCTTTTTACAAAAAAAAAAGTCAATAACTAATATTTTACTTAAATTTAGGAGCTAAAATAAAAATAAAACTATTTTACTAACGTGTCACGTCATCGAAATAACAGTATCCAACGTCTTAGCGATTTATCTTATTTAAACGAAACAAAAGTAACCAGATCTTATGTTTTTAAAACCCAATGAAGAAAATTTTATAAAATTCAAACAAAAGTGATTAATCATGTAGTTTACCATGTTTTAAAGCCAATAAAATTATAAGTATTTTGTAATTAATCATGGGTGAATATAAGATAGTATTGAAGGATGAACATATGTTAGTGGAGCGAACTTATAAAAAAATTTAGTAGAGTAGAATTTATAGAATCTTAGGGAGGAAAAAATATATTCTCAATATAAATTTAAAAATTTTAGGGGCCAACTACCCCACCTGCTCTTTCTAGATCCATTTTTGATAATATATGTTGGAAAAACTTTCAACCAATTTTTTTTTACAATATCTAAATTTAATCATAGTCTTTACCTAGGAGGGGGGAGAAGAATTATAGAAGAAGAAATGGGAGAACTCATAATGAATTTAAAACTCATAATCTAAAAAAATGTGATTCCATTGCCTATATGTCAAACAGGATTAATCCTTAGAAAATTTTTAGTAACTTTCCCTTGACTTTTTAAAACAAATATAATATCATTTATCGACTGAAAATTGTAAGATCCAAATGTGAATTTAGTACAGTGATGGCTAACAAAAGAAGAAACACCTCAACTTTCAGAAAAGTGACATTTTCTTACCACATTTACAAGAATCTCTCGACACAGGTTATCAAGGTGGATTTGGGAACAGCACCAATCACTGCATCTTTCTTCTCCCCATTCTTAAAGATCATAACAGTTGGAATGCTTCGAATTCCATATTGCGTTGCAATGTTAGGACACTCGTCGGTGTTAACTTTGTAGCATTTGAGCTTCCCGGCGTAGTCCTCTGACAGTTCGTCAACTACCGGGTGAATCATACGGCAAGGTCCACACCATGGAGCCCAAAATTCAACCAGAACAGGCAATTCACAATTAAGAACAAGTGATTGCCATGCATCTTCCTTCACTGGTGCCACTGCAAATTTCAAAGAACAAGCATAATGACATATATATATATATATGTTTCATGAAGGATCAGTTCTAAACACAATAGCAAGGTCAAATCAACAAAGATCTACGACCATCGACTTTGAACTTGAACAGAGAATGATAACATGAACTCTCGGCTGTTCTTTTATCCTCTTTCATTTCTGAACAAGGAAAGAGAATAAATTTCAAAGCATAGTTTTCCCATCGTCATTTCATTAGTAAAACGTCTTTTTAACTTTAGTTTTTTTCTATTTTAAAAATCCATAATTCCAAATAAGTAAAATTTGAAATTCGTGAATTGTTAGATAATTTAACAATAAACTATATGCTAAAGCATTAGTCATTCATTCCCGAATTGGGATTGAGCGGATTCGAAAATCAGAAAGATAGCAACTTATGATAACAAAGTTTGTAATTTGACTTCCAAGTTTCAACCTATAAAAGTTTCGGGCTCAAATCTTCGGAAAGAGAATTAAGGATTTATTGGGATGTAAGACAATCACTTCCTTTTTCTAAACCCTAAAACAAAAAAAATTTACTTCTTCAACAAACAGAATCAGCTAATTCTTGTAAGAAAACTTACATCGTAAACATCCTGAGTTTAAAAGGCTAAAATTAGCTAGTTTGCAGCTCTATAAACCAATTCAACTCTAACCCTTTATGATGATTTCATCTAAGAAAGGTTCGATTTCCATAGGAATGTAATTTCTTCTCTCTCTTTTTTTAATTTCCACCGAAAAATCCTTTCTATTTTCTTCCACTTTCCAAGAAACCAGTCAAGCTAAAAAAATGATAAAAACCAGGTGAAACAAACCAACGGAACTGACCATCAACAACGGTCTCCTGGGCTTCACAAACAACTCGACCCTGCAGACGCAAGACCCGGCTCACTGATCGGGAAAATGGAACCAATGACGCCGACCTAGATTTACTCTTAAGGCCACGAAATTCCGGTAACCTAACGGATATTCTCCGATGAGAAACGAAAGTAGAAGGGACGGAAACGGTGGCGGTGATCGGGGAGAAAGTAACGGTGGCGGAAGCCATGGGGGACTGAAAACACCATTGTTCTATATGTTTGCCTAATGACCACCACATGTGCAGTTTGTGCAGCTGAAGCTGGCCCCGCACTTGCAGTTGCCATTGTTCTCTACCGGCGCCTCATCTACTACACTGCTGATGTAGCTGTGCAGGAATACCACAACAGATTATATTTATCATGTTTAGAATGAAAATTTAAGCTTCTTAATAATGATATATTGAATGTGGTCGCAGTTCCTTCCTTTTGCATCTCTAGGTAAGTATGTCTACGATAAAGAAGGGACGAAAGAACTGATGCATCAGAAATGTTTTTGATTGCTTGTTTGAAAATCTCATGGATGGTTCAGAACTTAGAAAATAACAAAATATGAGAATTTGTGCAATAATGGTTTATTTATTTGCAGATATGAGAGCCTTTGAAGATCAGAAAATATACCTATTTTCAGTCTCAATGACCAAGGTGTTTCCTTTCTTCCTGTGATCATATAAAAAAACCTTTAGTTTCAGCCATAATTGATTGCTTTAAAACAATAACATGATCTCAAAACCACACAAAAGTAGAACCGCTCAAAGCTCATAATGGATCGATGATTAACGGTTACTTACACGCACTGGGTCTCAATGACCAGGTGTTTCCTTTCTTCCTGTGATCATATAAAAAACCTTTAGTTTTCAGCCATAATTGATTGCTTTAAAACAATAACATGATCTCAAAAACCACACAAAAGTACCGCTCAAAGCTCATAATGGATCGATGTTTAACGGTTTACTTACACGCACTGGGTCTTGTAGCACAGTCGCAGTTGCCGCACTTGTCAGACATGGTGAATTTGAGAGAGTTAATAATTTATTAAATAACGATAAAAGCGTGAACGTAACCCTCGTCCGGAGTTGTAATTATGAATTATAATACATTTTCTACAAAGCGGGCACGTTACATGATTCTCGAGCCAGTGTCCAAGCAGCTCGAATGAAACGTGTGTTACACACCGGAAAACTCCTACAAGATTCACCAACCACATAATCGTCCAAGCATATGGACAGTTACTGGAATTTAACCGATGTTCATCGTCCTCGTAAATCAAATCGACGGTAATAGTTTCTCCAACACCTGCACATTCAACACTAATCCATTGTTCACGACCTCCGACAACGACGACCCGTTGATCGTACCCGATGTCTGCAAATAGTTACGGATTCTTGCTTCGTAAGCAACCATCTGCATGTAAATGGCGAAGGGATGAACGATGAAATAATGATGCAGGCTGCGACCAAGCATAACAAGAGAGCCGCAATGCCAAGGGCTGTAAGAGAACTAATCAGAGGGTACCGTGAAGAATATTGAATGACTAAACTTAGTTTAATCATGTTCTTCGATGTATGATGTTTACCACTTGATGACCTTTGTACTTATTTAACACTTAGCTTAGAGGACAATTTGATCCTTAACATGAATCTTTTAAATTAATTACATTAAAAAAGAGAATTTATGAAAGCAATTGTTAAAATTATTTTTAAAAATGGTTAAAAATCTGGTATTTTCGGTGGTTTGAACAAAGAGGTGTCGAAGTACAGCCATATTTTGTTGCAAAAATAGCATTTATTAATTAATAACATACGAAATAGAAATAAAAACAGAAATCAATTAATAATGATGTATTGATCTGTGGAAGCTTTAACGAGAACATCCTTATGAGAATCAAACAAATAACAGATGACATTAAAGCAAATGAAAATAGACTAAACTTATATTTATGAAACAACTATTTTGCTTGAAATAAAGATTAATTTACTGTGTTTTTAGTTATTGCTTACTATCTTAAATTGTATATCAAAATTTAATTTCTTTTTATAAGTAAACAACGACGATATTTTTTTAGTTATGAGTACCACTTAGATTCAACAAGTATGATTAGGTATATACATTTGTTTCAAATATGGGTGAAATTGACGTTATGTTGCATTATTGGTATATCATTACATCACACACATATATATATATATATGCTACATATAGTTTAGGCCAAGTTCGGTGTAGTATGAAGTATGTTTGAAATATGATCGTAACCATTTGGTGCATATGGTATCGGTGTTAAAATTGGGAAATCGTTATTATAAAATTACCAAAATACTCATCCAAATTTTTATTTTTTCGAGTGACTTGAAATTTTCAAGTTTAAACTACTTGAATTGCATGCTCCTAAACTATCTTAAAATACATATGTACTTCCAATTACTCTTTTTTATAATAAGTTTTATATTTTTTAATTTAGTTACTCAATTTTCATGATTTACTTATTTCTTCAATTCATCCTTTATTTTAAGTATGTTGTTGACTAAATTTGAACCACATACTCCTATAACATTATAGAATATCTATGTAACTTCAATTCCTATTTTTTACTAAAAATGCTCTCTTTTTTAATTTAGTCCCTAAACTAATTCCTATTTTTTACTAAAAATGTTATCTTTTTTAATTTAGTCCCTAAACTTTACATTTTACTCAATTTCATCTTTTAATTGCAATTGTCTGCAAATTCTTTCTTCTCATCAATTCCTTGACTCCCTTATACTCTCATCAATATTTTACCCTCAAAATATCTTCTTTAAAATATAATAATGTAAATACATTTTATAATTTTAGATTATATCCGATATATTAAATAATATATAATGTAAAAGAATATGAAGATATATATATTATATATGGTTAGAGAAAGTAAAAAAATTAGAATTGATCTGTACCATAATACCATAAATAATACAATTAAATTTGTATAGAAACTCGAACAACTCGACTCGAATTTCATAAACCTGATTCGAATCACAAGTTAAGTTTGAGTCATGAAATATGCCCCGTCAACTCAAATAACTCAAAAAAAATTTGACTCGACTCGATCAAATGTTCAACCCTAATTTTCGCATATTCATAGAAGTGCACAATCTTCTTTCCTTAACTTTTACCAATACAAGTTACGCAGAAACACAAGTAGTGAGAAAATTCATAAAGAGAGTCAGTCTATAGGAAAGTAAAGGGAGAAAATAATTTCCTCAAGGAACCAAGGCATACAGAGCGTCGCTCTGTCCATATTCATGGAAGTATTCCAGATGTTCCAATTCATTTAATAGAGGTAAATAACCTCATAAAAATGACAAGTTCAGTGAACAGTTTGGACTTGGGGATGCATCCAATTGCAAAGAAAAGCTATATTTTCCTTTTATTCCTAGGTTCTTTTTTTTCAAATCATCTCTGTAATCCTATAATTAAAAGTTTGTACCTCAAATTGTTTTCATTCTAAACTTCAAATACCAATCTCAACATTGAAGCCCTCCGCTTGAAGGCATATACGATGAGCCTCTATCCATTTTGCACAGGCTTCTTCACCATGCTCCACAATGCATTCATCTCTGAGCTTCTTCGTCTCAGGGCAAGCACAGCAGATTTTCTTCTTTGGTTTTGACTCTGAACCAGATGCTGACGTTGATGATCCCTTGTTTAGCTGCAAGCGAGGCAAAGCTAATGCGGACGTATTTTGTGTTGGCAACCCATCCATTGTCTCAGCAGTATGTAAAATGTAAGATACTGTGAGGGAAATAGAGAAAGAGAAAAACATCACAAAAAAGCATAGGAAAATAAAACGTTACCAAGAACCATGAAGTATTTCATGAAAAGAAACAGAAATCACATAGGCCATGATAACATGAATCATATCACAACAAAAGAACTAGAGATAATTTCTATTACTTTTCCTTTTTTATCATTCAGCTACCAATGTCAGCAAGAATACATTTCATACCATCTAATTAATCAATATACAAAGAAAATGCATAACCAGAACATCAGTCTATCTAGTATGATTTCAATTGAATTCAGTAAGAAAATGCAAGTTTGTTATGTAAAAACCTAGTGAAAACAGGAAAAAATGCTTGGAATGTTTAAAATGTCAATTTCTGTGTATATTCGAACAATTAAATTAACAAAGAAAGTGAATAGGCATTTTTCGAATTATTTCATCTACCCTTAAAAGAACTGGTTTAGAATTAACTGAATTTTCGGGTTATTTAACAGTAAGATCAATATCAAGTTTCACCTTGATACTACCTAAAGTTTAATCCAAAAGGAATAGCCAGTTTTCATCAGAAAAAAAGGAAAAAGCAGCCATAATTCATCAGAAAAACACATGAATCAATCAAATGAACACTTCGCAACAATAAAAAATAATCTTTATCGGTACATGTTTCTTTGCTTCTTTTGTATTCACGTTAGTTTAATCTTTTTCCACAATTGAATCGGGAAATAGATAAATAAAATAATAAAAGAAGGGCTTACCGTTGAATTTTAAGCAAAGGGGCCGCCGGCAACGGGTGTCGGGTTTTTTCAGAGGTTTTAAAGAAGGCAACAAAGAACGAAGAAAAAAGGATTTCAGCTTTACGGTCAGGTCTTTTTTATTCGGTTGGTTTTAATTTTTAAAAAAGTTCGAAAATATTGTTAGGAAAAAAATTAAATTGGAAATTGCTATGGTGTTATAACAATATATAATTGTCCTGTGACTTTTTTTGTGTATTTTTTTATATCATTTTATAGGGTAAACTACATATTCAGTCATTCACTTGTTCTTGCAGTTCCATTTTTGTCACCTAACTTTTCCAAAATCATACCTAAAATTACGTTATGACTCTGTTTTGGTCACCCAACATTTAAAAAATTAATGGTGATGTTGATGTGTCACCATAAGGTAATGTCATATCATCATTAGGGAAAAAAACTATCGTCAACAGTTTTATTTATTTTTTAATAGCAGATGACCAAAACAGAAAAAAACATAACGTTAAATATGGCTTTGAAAAAAATAGTTTGACGAGCAAAACCGAATTGCAACAATAGGTGGGTGACTAAATATATAGTTTATCAAAATTTTATAATAAGTATTAAAAGATTATAATCACAATAAAAATAAAATGTTTATATCGGTGTATTGCATAAAAGAAATGATCATTTTGAAACAATTCTATTATTTTAGGAGTATTTTTGTCATAAAGAAAAGAAATTATCTAATACATAAGAAGAACAAAAGAAATGACATTCCCGGAAAAAACCTTAAAAGTGCTATCATATTATAGTGAATGTTTGTGTATATTATTTCAAAAATTATTCTTCGAAAATATTTTTTTCCCGCAAACCAAAGGTCCTTATTTGTTTTACTGAAAGCGAATTTTAAAAAAATAAATTATATATTTTTTAAATTATTTTTTAATATTTAGATGATGTCATATAAATCATTTTTCGTTATTTGATAAAAAAATTAAAGATTTTTTTATTACAAATATCAAACATAACAAATATACTAATAAAATTGAATATTATTATTTTAAAAATGTAATAACAATAAATTATATAATATTATACCGATATATTTTTTCTTCTTCAAACTTTCATGTTTGTTATTTAGATATCAAAATTTCCGACAAAAATGCATGCCGAATTACTCTTTATGTGATCCTAGAATCGTCCAACAAGTCCTCTTCCATGATGACAATCAGAAAATGTTTCAAGAAAGATAGAGAAAAGGCTACATTTCCTTTTTCAATTTGGCTTAGACAGTATTTAAAGCAAATTGGTTTCTCTATTACCAGTGGCATCCTTGCGTCGACGCCTTGAACCAGATCTCGTATCCCTTCTACGCCCTGTAACCCTCTTCCCTGGAGTTCTTCCCAGTATATTGGGCAAAGCTGGTGGGTGTCGATTCACAGCGGCAAATGCCTCTGATAAATCTCTATGGTATACCTGTTAATGGAAAATCATTAGAATACATGCACCTATCAAAACTACAAATTCCCCCATCCAAGCACCAACATATCAAAGACATTGGTTGTATCCGATAAAAGCCTATAGATAGCAACACAATCAAAAGATGTGTTCTTCCTTTTTGCACAGGCTCTCGGGAAAATATACAAATAATATATTTAGCTTTTACAATCTAGATTCATAGTCCCACCAAGTTAATATGCCAAGATTTAATATATGTACCTGAGTGACGAAATTCCGTCTTTCACAATCCAAGAACATATTCATATTCCAATCAACTTTTTCCGTTATTTTATCTCTTACAATCGCAAAGCTTAATTGGTCCCTGGATGTAAAACGATCAACTTCATTGAACCACAGACAGGTAAACAGATTAGTGATTGGAAGATGCTCCTTTATGAGCACGCAGCCTTCAGGAACATCTGCAGACAACCAGTCTCGCACCTTTTAATAGAAAATGGTTGAACTTGAAATACCGTTCAAGGAAAACGAATGCACACATTTGTAATTGCCTTAAACATCATACTTACCACTGGTTATAGGAAGCTTGGCCTCAGAATATGTAGTTAAACCCTCCATTTTATAAAAATCCACCTGTTCATCAATTGAGGAATTATCATATTTTCCAGCAGCTTTATTTGCTTCAGCCTCTACAAAGACATCGAATCGTCTGTAGTGTCTCGAGATTGCAAAAGTAGCATTTTGGCGCCATAAGAATCTGAAAGGAATGACCAAATGTCAAATCAGAATTCCATTATATCCTTTAATCTAAAGCGAAAAGATTAAAGCATGCTCAGTACAAATCACTGATGCCTAACGGGAGGCCGTCTTGACTAAGTTACAATAGCTCAGAATTGCTGCCTTTTTCTCTTTTCCATACTTCAAATCAAGAAGAATATCCTGGGAAGTCATACATGTCAAACATTTACGCATGCTGAAGATAAAAACAACCAGGATGAACATAATTCACATAATATTTGGGTTAATTTAGACTTTACAAATCAAATAAAAGATGAAGCAAAGTATCCGTTCCAGTGCATTACAAGGATATGATATCGTAATTTGAGATTGCATTACCAGATGCTCTCATTCTACTAACATTGAATATTAAACCACGGTAACAGCTAAACTTAAGTACATATGTAGGAACAATTAGGTTGATATTCTTGAATGACATCCTTGATGTTTCATTGTTACTTTAGATGTTCAGTCCGTATGAAAATAGAAATCACATCATCTAGAAATTTAAGTACTCTGAAAATAAATGGCATATAAATAAAAATAAAGTCATAAAATGGAGAGTACTTCTCAAGAATCTGGTAAGGATCCACAACAAGCCGCAGCTTTCCATCAATCCATATAGAGTAGCGAACATTGGGGAAGATTCTATGTAATAAAAGCTTTGGGACCTGCCATAAATACATGCCAGGTAAAAAAGACTCAGCAGCCCTGAAATTTCTGATAAGGATTAATCACCGGCTATTCCTGAAATTTCACCAAATAACAGCCTAATTGTTACACTCTTATTTTCCGAATTGGAGTATATAAATTAAGTCCATTTTGAACTGAAAATAGAGACAAAAATGATAATCAACAACCAGATCCCCCTCCCCCACTTTATGATAAGGTTATGCGCTTCTTCCAGTTAATCTATTATAACCAGAAGACAACACTAAAACACAGTCATGCTCTTTAATAACAGCAAACTGCAAAAATGTAATCCACTAACACATGTTGAATATTATGTTTCCAGCAGCCTAGGCCCTAGGGAAAAATAACAATGAATCAAATTGCAAAATCTGCCTTTGCATTCTAGGAAACAGATTGTACAGTTATATTGGAAAGGCACAATGATTTAATGAACTCAGAAATAGCGATTCCCACTTTCTTTCTTGCATATGTGTTCATAGTTTTACCATCAATATCACAAAAAGAAAACAACTAATCCAAAGATTCAAGGATACCACAGATTCTCAAATGTGAATCAGATTGCCATAAGTCCAAGTAGTAATAAAAGTTAAAATAATCTCTCTCTCTATATGTGTGTATGACTGTGTGTGTACATAATAAAGAAGTGCAAATTAGTCAAACCAAAGTATCCTAACCTTCCCATTACGTCTTGCATCACTGTAAGGAACATTGTGGACAACAACAATTCTCCACAATCCTACCCTTTTACCACTGTCCAAAATACTTTTGTTCCTAAGATATGCTTCAGTTTCTTCATCAATAAACATGTAGAAAGGAATATTTTTCTTTGCCTCTTCACTAATGTTCCTGGGCTGTTGTATTACATCATAGTTCCCTGGGGAAAAATAAAAAAGCAAGATGAAGATCAACCATTATCAGAAGCAAGAAGCTCTTGTGGAAGCTTGAACACCTAGCAGTACCAAATATGGCCGATGCAACAATGATATCATGGAACTGCTGTAGCTCTGTAAGGTCAGACTCATCAAAGTCGAAGCCAGTCTGTCGGCCAGGCTTACTTCCCTTAACAAATCTGACAGAGAAAGTATACAAATCATAATATCAGAAAGAAACTAGAGGGTAAGGCTTATTTATGAAGGCAAATATTTAATTGAATCATTAACATGCGCCATATAAACAGTACGAACCTTACAAATTTCAACCTGAAATTTCTGCAATGAGTATGCTCTATAATAAATATAAGGGGAGAAAACCTACCCACAATGCACTGTCATCGACTCTTTTATGTCAAAAGAATAATTTCTTTGCTTTAGAGAAGGATATCCACCAAAGTCAGAGCCTCGATGCGGTTCACTTTTGATTGGATTATCATCGTGAACATATGTCAGATCATGTAGCACTGGAGATGCTGATGGGGAACTTGGCATGCTAGCTATGGCCTGATCCACGGGGAGGTAACATACTGGACATGCTGAAAAAGGGAAGAGCAAGAATCAAATCAGCAGAAAAATAAGACATGCATACTCAGATGAACATATTGACAAACTGATGACAAGAAAATGTTATTTCATTCACATGATTATGCTTGGATCAATATTTTTTCCGTACAAGTGTGATTTTGAGTTTGTGACTACAGAGGAAAAATAACATAATTAAAAATCCAGTGGTTTTCTGGTATTGTTGACAAATATGTTTCCTTCTGTCACAAATTACTGCTTTTGAAGCATTTATATAAAGAAAAACATTAATACAATTTACATTAAAGGCCATGTTCCACTAATTAATGCAACTCTGTTAATGAGAACAAGCAGAATGAACCCAAACTTACGCCGAGGTCCAATCCGTCTAAGAGTAGGTGGAGGCGAGGAGGAAATGTGAACTTCGCACACAGATGGTTTGATGGCAAACCACTTGCACCTTTAGAACCAATAATTTGAAATCCATTTCCATCACCTCCTTTCAGAATGTTTGCTACAACATAATTTTCATCTTTCTGTTTACCCTTCTTTTCTATCGATGAAGCTCCAGGATTGCTTGGGGCACCATTCACATAAGGAAGAACCATGTTTAGAGTTTCAATCTGTTGATCAACATTTAGACTAATGCTTTCTGGTTCATTAAGCATAGAAAACGCAAACCAGAAAATGAATAAGTATCACTTCAAATCAATTATCATGCTGAGAAATAAAAGTCACAGTCAT